CCCCCCCCCCCCGGTCATAGATTCAATACAGATGAGAATGTTATTCAGTAGCATATAGGTGAAATCAAGATTAACACCATGAAATATTATACCTTAATCACGACCGCAGTAACTCCTTTATCAACACAGAAGTACGTTCCCGAGCGACGAGCGTATTGCTCGGAGAACTTCCTCATGATCTCCACAGATTTCTCCGACGGTTCCGCTGCAGAGAAGCAAATTCAACCCAAACCCATCTCAGTAAATTCAATTTTCAAGCGATAAAACAAGAAATCAGAACAAACTAGAGGAGAAAAAGGATTGAAATTTACATTTCGCTCGGATTACAGAGCGCCGGGAAGAGGTTCTCGGAGAGGCAAGTGGCACCCAAACGGAGCTGAAGCTACACGAAGCCGCTTGAAGATTCATGGGTTTCGATCTTTATTCTCCAAAAAAAACGAGGGCTTTGTGAAATATATCTGATTTTCGCGAACAAAGACTCAAAGTTTCCTCCTTTATTCTTGGATTTTCGATTCTGTAGCTGCAGATCGAACTTCAGATTTTAGTTCTGTTTTTTTCCCCTTTTCAGATATTTTTTGTGTTTATTGTTTGCCACTCGTCTTGAAAATATCAACTCATAATCCAATGTTCGCCAGAAGGCCAAACTCTCTGACTCATACAGAGGCTCTCTATAACCATTCAATCTATTGTAAAATTGAAATTTGGATGGATACACTCAGATGGTTTACACTGGTTTTCCCGGTTTAGATCTGGTTAAGAATGATTTGATTCCGAGTTCATCTTCTTTATTCTCGTGTGTTTTTTTCTCAGATTTGAAAACGTGCGATACGGACGCCGCTGATCATCGTGTTGACTGTTGAGGGATCTAGGGTTTTTGTTTCGGACCCACATGGAGTCGCCGGAGGAGAAAGTCGTCGCCGTGATCATGGTCGGTGGTCCCACCAAAGGTGACAACACCCTCCAGTTTCTGATTTCCTCTCTTCTTTGGGAAGAAAAATTTTTAAATTCGAGTTCCGTTTTCTTATCATTGGATTTTTTGATCGTTTTTTGGGCGTTGGCTTCACTTTAGGAACTCGTTTTCGGCCATTATCGTTCAACACACCTAAGCCGCTTTTTCCTTTGGCTGGTCAGCCCATGGTTCATCATCCTATTTCTGCTTGTAAAAGGGTTTGTTTCTCTATACTCAGCATTTTCTGTTTGTTTCTTGAGAAAATTTTGGAAAATTTCTATGATTCGCTGTTACTTGTTTGAAGCTCAACGAAAGTCTCTAGATTTATGTGAGAAAATATGGATTGGCTATTGTAGTGTTGGTTATGGATGAATAGCTTGAACAAGTTGTGACGTTTTTAACTTTAGACCCAGGGAACTAAAGAATAGGTGGCCGATAAACTTGGGAAACTCTATAAAGTTCTAAACTTTGCGTTGTTGATTGTTCAGATGGCTTGAGAAAGTAGCAATCTTTTCACATATAAGGATATGAGAAGCATGCTTATGTTACTGATGCGGTACATGATATTTGGCAGATACCGAATTTGGCACGAATATTTCTAATCGGGTTCTACGAAGAAAAAGAGTTTGCATTGTATGTGTCTTCAATTTCTAGCGAGCTGAAAATACCAGTGAGGTAAGTGGGTAAGTTAGTAGTTATGTATCCTGTGTTTCGATTTTGGACCCATTGCTAAATATTCTCATGCTTGCTCCTGTTTAATGGGTTGATGCAGATATTTGAAAGAAGACAAACCCCATGGCTCAGCTGGTGCCCTTTATTACTTTCGAGATATAATCATGGAAGACAAACCGGTTTGATAGCTCATGGATTTCTCGTCCTAATTCATGTTCCTTATATTATATGGTTTACTCTGAAATATGGTTTTTTGTTGAGCAGTCACATATTTTTCTTCTGAATTGCGATGTTTGCTGTTCTTTCCCACTTCGAGAAATGCTCGGTAATCTTCATAAATTCTTTCATTTTTAGTTCCATTTTATCTGTTCTCTTTTTTCGAAAACATATGTATCTGATGCAACTTCACAATTTTGGCAGAAGCGCATAGAAGATTCAGTGGGATTGGAACAATGTTAGTCATCAAGGTTCGGTGTCCTTATCACTTTTGCTTGGTTGGAAGATTTCACATAGAAAACAGAAGTAAAATCAGCGAGAATTTTATTTCTGTCTGGATCTTGGTTAGGTTTCTGCAGAATCAGCCAACCAGTTCGGAGAGCTAATTGCTGATACTGTTACCAAAGAACTTTTGCATTATACAGAAAAACCGGAAACTTTTGTAAGTCTTTGCTAAAGCCTCCTGTTTTGTATTTTGCGATAGCAGTGTAAACTTCTTTACACTTGATGCAGGTAAGTGACTTGATAAACTGCGGTGTATATGTCTTTACTCCTGATATTTTCAGTGCCATAAAGGGAGTATACAGTCACCTGGAAGACCGATGTAAGTGCTAACTCTTGGTTTATCTTCAGGCTTGTATTATATTCAACTCGAGTTTTTTTTACTTGCTTGGTTCACCTTGAGTCATAATTTTTGAATCTTCTATTATTACTCTCTCTTTCTATGTGTTTGTGAGCGGAATGCGGAAAGGTGTGTTTCCTTCTGAAAATGACTCGTCTTACAATCTTTGAATCCTTTTGTACTAAAATTTGACAGTTGGCATCTGTCGGGTTTCCAGCTTTGACCACTTCCAATCCACGACGAGGTACGCTATCCTTGCTGTTATATGCATTGCCTTGTTTGATGTCAAATTTTTCAGTGATCTTTCTTGTTCCTTTTTAGCAAGTTCACAAAAATAGTGAATGGTGGTATCATTTGTGGAAAAGCCCTCAACTTTACTGAACAACTTTTTGCTGATGCTTCTTCATGAATAAGTCATCCGTGAAATTATCTCGACAGGTCTGTTCCTGTGGATTTTGTAAGATTAGATCAGGATATCTTGTCACCACTTGCTGGGAAGAAAAAACTATACACATATGAGACTATGGACTTCTGGGAACAGATTAAGACTCCCGGGTGATTTTCCCGCTCCTAATCATCATTTCTATTTTCCCCCTCCCAACTTTTAACATTCTTGTATTTACTGTTCTTCTCACTCATCCTAAAAATGGAAATATAGGGTGTCTCTGAAATGCTCGGCTTTATATCTTTCCCAGTTCTGCCAGACATCGCCTCATCTTTTGGCTGGTGGAGATGGTACCAAGAATGCAATGATAGTCGGTGATGTTTATATTCATCCATCTGTAAAAGTGCACCCAACCGCTAAGGTATTTTTGTCTCATGAACTAGTTTCCATCAAACGTAGTAGCAGATATTTGAAGTACCGAATGTCCTGAAAGTTTTGTTCTTTGGACAAAGATTGGTCCAAATGTGTCTATATCAGCAAATGTTCGTGTTGGGCCAGGTGTAAGGCTCATAAACTGCATAATCTTGGACAATGTTGAAATCAAGGTAATGAATGAGCTCCACTGGTCAAGCTTCGATATCTGCTTAAAGATTGTTAAAAGAAAGCATACTTTATGTCGTATTTGTTATCTGACATGCAGGATAATGCTGTTGTTATCAACTCGATCATCGGGTGGAAATCATCTCTAGGGAGATGGTCACGAGTTCAGGGGAATGAGGACTACAATGCAAAGCTCGGGATTACGATTCTAGGTAATGGGTTCCTCTTTTTCCGTCGTTTTTTAAAGGGTTTTCGTTTTTAACAGATTTTCTTATGCATATACGCTCCAGGAGAAGCCGTGACTGTTGAAGATGAAGTCGTGATCGTGAACAGCATTGTTCTCCCAAACAAGAGTCTTCACGTCAGCTTTCAAGACGAGATAATCTTGTGAAGTATTTACATGCCACCATTCATAACTTCACGGCAATGAACTGTCTAAGAGGAAAAGAAACAATAGGTTCAGTAAAAAACCCAGGGCTCAAACTGTATAATGCTTAGCTCAGTTTATTGAAGGATTGGTACTGTGTACAAGAACAGCTTAGAAAAACGAATGAATCTTCATTGTGTTTCGGTTTTATGTACAAACTCTCTCTACTAACCAAAAAAGAATCCATGAATCTTGAAGCATCAATGTGAAAGGAAACAAAAAATGAATCAAAGAATTTCTGGTTCTTGATTGTGTTGCAGGTACTGCCTCTGTGACTTGTGAAGATCATAAGGCGCCCATAGATAGTCAATAGGGCATGGCCTGCCTTTATCGATCCGTACCCATGGCTTCCCTTTCCCACTCCAATGAATCAAACTGACCGGACCAGGGTGTAGTGACCGGCAACTGCTCACTACGTTATCACCACCTAGACCGTGCTGGTTCCACCTGTGGTCGATGGGTTCTATCTCTCCTGCAAACACCAGCAAGAATGGAGGCAACGATCCCAGTTCGTAGATTCTCTTCTCCTTCTGAATCTTCATCCAATTCTCGATCTTTCTGCTGTAATCACCCTCTCTCCATCTCTCCAGATCGATCACCATGACTCCAGTGTTGAAATAACATGGGTTTTTCCCAGAAAAGGTGCTAGAAAGCTCCCGGACGGTCCAGAAACGACCTGAGAAGTACTTGGTGAAGTTCGCATGGCAGTACTCAGGTGCTCCGATTGTTCTTGACCCAGATAGCGAAATCTTCCATAGTTTCTGGATGTCATCCACAACGATCACATCTGAATCCAGATATATCACACGTTGGACGCAAGGCAAGAGAATATCAGCCAAGTAGCTCCTCGCATAGTTCAGAGGATTGTCAAGAGCTTGTCTTATAGACGAAGAGATGAGATTCTTCACACGAGTCTCGTCAAAGGAGTAGACTTTGAAACTCAGAGACGGGAAGACGAAGGAAAGGGTATGAGAGAGAAAACTATTGCCTGGATCTTGGAAACTCGAATCGGAAGCTATGAAGTGGAAGAAGATGTTCTCCGGACAAGATGTGTGCTTGAGGATGGAATGAACAGCAGATACAGTGCCTCGCAAGTAAGCCGGGTCGAGGGTCATTGCAATATGAACAGCTGAAGGATCACAGGACAATAATAGCCTGTTCTTGGCCAAAACAGAGCATTCTGGTCCGTTCTGATATGCAGGGGCCTCTATAAACTCTGCAGAGGCGTCGAATGATCTTCCTTTTGGGAGTAATCGAATGGATTCGACGGAGAAGAAGGATGCAGAGACTAGAAACAAGATTATGATCCTCGAAACTAGTCCGAAACCAGACATCATCAGAAGAGAAGTGATCAGTTTCAATCCCTGTCTTGTTTCTGATAAAAACTACTGAGAAAATCTTGGAAGGGTTTCGGAAAACTGTTAGGGTCTGGTTCTTGAAAATGTCGGAGGAGGGTTTCTGGCTTTTGTTGCAGAGACAGAGGAGAGAGGAAACGAATGTAGAAGAAGAAGGAGACGAAGACACGGAAGGTTCAAAGAGGCAAATGCGTGTTGAGGAGACGAAACGCGGTTTTGTAATAATAAGACCAGAGGGAGGGTCAAATTCGCTGGTTTGAAACTCGCTATCATTGATTGTCATATGTTATTATTATTTCTTGATGCATTCATTTGTCATTATTTCTTGTTTCTAGATTAATGTTTTTTTTTTTCTTTTTCAAGAATCGTGTTCAGTAATATTCATTATCAAATACTAAATACAAAGCATTTGATGATGAATAATCAAATTCAGGAATATGGTTATATATAACCAAAATGTTTGATATTTTGCTAAGTCAAGACCATTCGTGAATTAATAAACTTAACTAATAATGGTAACGAACACAATCAAATTCACAAAAGGAAAGCATGTTAGGTGCAAGGAATCCAGCGATGGGGAAGATGGGTCCAATGGACACATGGGTCCATGTGCTTTGAACATATTTTTAATTATTTTCATTTGGTCAGCTTCCCATTTATTATTGGATACAACAAAAAAATTTAAATTAACCATGTGACGCATTCCTCGTTTAGATGGATTTCATTTCGGTTTTCACTCTTTTCTATGACAAGAATTTATTATTCTCCCTAAATAGATTTTGTATTTAATTTCTCCAAAAATACCCAATTCTATTGGTTAATATCATGTGAAATAAATCTAAGTTGTATTACGATAGTAATGAATTTTATCACATTTTATTGTACAACCCTGCCACGTTGTACTGTTGTATTTCAGTTATTTGGCACCATGCAAATGAATACTATACGGCAAGACCCACGGTCCAATAATAAATCACATAATAGTATGTTTCGGTTGAAATCAAACCTGAAAAACATTGAAGTCTACCACCAACCTCTTTGTATGTCCACCAATAAAAAATTCAAAGGTAAATTATATCAAAACATGAAATTTGAAATCTATTCCAAGATTTTATCAGTAATCATTAGCAGAGTTGTTGCTCCAAACATGTTCATGCAAATCTGTGCATTATTCAGAGTATATGAAGTGGTACCCTTTATTTTATTTTGGGTTTGGACCGACTTATATTAATCATGCAGCTGCTTTTAAATTTCTATAAAAAGAATTGAAATAACTTGAAAATAAAGTCTCTCTTTCTTATTATTATTTAATTAATTTAGTATTTATGTACAGCTGTGTGTGCGGCTGCTGGTTGGCAGTCCAAATTCTGTATAATCTTTTCGTATGTTTACTTATTTTACATAATCATGAAATTTCGCAACATTAGCATTAGCAATTCTAGAGAATTATTAGAAAACAAAAAAACTTTAGGTACGTTTGGTACGGTTAGCTTCAATTCAATAATGTGCAACCAATAATCACTTATTATAAATCCACTAGACTTTCCCTTTTTCGTCGTGCATGTTTTGAAGAAAAACGATGTTGATTACAAAGTAACTCCAAACTAAATAATATTTAGCTAATTGTTAATTAAAATGCTGATTAATTATTAGTTAAAGAGATTATTAGTTCGTTTTTGTGATTTCTTGAATGATTTCCTTTGTTCAATTGAAAATTCGTCTGAATTTAAACAAATAAATAAATAAATTTATTGATTCATTACAATATCTTCTTTTGTACAAAGATATATTATATTATAATTAAAATCGGCCAAACAGGATAATATATCTTAATTCATATAGAAATGTCCATTTTATAACAATGAATATTGAATGGTATCTAACCGACTTCGGCCGCGAAATGGATCATAGGGAGAAAGCTTTCCTTTCTTAAACTTTTAAAAATTACGCCTGTGCGCCTAAAATAAAACTAATTACAAAATCAGCCCAAAATTATGAAAAGGCGCAGAATTGCGTTTAGTGAAAAAAAAGGGACATGAAATTAGGCTATGAATTCAAGCAACGCAAACAAGAGTTAAAAACCACATTCTTATGTTTTGCTTCCACTGAATATGAATCTGTCCTCGAAAGTTCCCTCTCGAGACGTTATAACTATCAACGTTAGAGCGATTCGCGAGAGAGAATCACCACCTTATGGATGATGATTAGGAGGAAGAAAGAATACATCTTTAAGACGAGGAAGATCTGTGACAAAAAAACAGACAAGGAAGAAGGATGATTAGAGGGGAGACATTATGTTCAAAAGATGAAGAACACATATGATGGATGTGAGTTCATGATCTACGAGAAAAATGTGTCAAGCCATGTTGAGATAAATATCGGTTCCTATCCGAGAAATTAGCAGTAAAAAACTTTGTCTAAGATTGCGATATCTCGAAGAATCATGGACTCTCCCTACATAAAAATCATTCCTTTGCGGATAGGTTTTGAGAAAAGGGTCTAAACCAAACATTATGGAACCTAAAATTTCACGCAGGACCTCCAATAGAACCTAGTCCCTAAACCCTAAATCTAAAAATCCTAAACCCTTTTGGTGGGTTTGTTCGACTGACACCCTTTCATTTAAAATGAAGTTCTAACATGGGTTTAGAAGACGAACGGGTAAGGAAACCGCTGATTACTTACCTCGGTAATGCAGTAACTTCTGCTTCCTTTCCATTGGGAGAGGCAGATAAGCCTTTGTTATGGAGGTCATCAGCAATGTAGGGTTTGTTGGATAATCCCTTTGGCTCGGGAGTTTCAGCAACAGAATCCATCAAATGAATGGTGAGCTCATGAGGAGAGGATGACTAACAAAAAAGCATTATCAAGAAGAGATTGGTAAATCAAGTCAGCTGTAACAGAGATATCATCCGGAGTAACGCATACAAGAACAGGGGACTAGAGGGCTTACACATTCAAACAGATACATATTTTCCTCCTGGAGCAGCACTCTTGCATTTTCATAGTAAACTGAATCGGTCCTAGTACGAGGATTGTGAGAGTTTTCATATTCATACTGTTGGAGAAGCTTCTTATCTGTCTCCTCGGTCGCAGTCATTTGGAGCTGCAAAAAGGAATCAAGTTCAGAAATATGGCCTGTGAACATCGATATGGGAAGGACTATAGGCGCAGTGACGAGTAACCTGTTTCACCAATTTGAATATCAACTTGTCCAATGTGAATAACACATAAGAATGATTTCCGATAATAGCTCGGCATTCATCCTCAAACCTCGCGTTATCAGCTGATCCATCGAGAAGACTGCACAGAGCGCTCATAAATCTGCATGTATGCAACAAGTGAATCAAAATTGTCATTTGCATAAATACTCATGATTAGACAGGCACTGATAAACCTCCTATTACCTAGTGTACCGGTCCAAAGGACTAGAATCCTTGCAGTTCCTCCATTTCACGTCAGCTGCTGTAGAATTTGTTTTTGCAGCTAGGATTCTCTCATACAAGGTCTGCGATAGAGATGTGTTTCGGCATAAGACACTAAAACAACGAAAACTGAGGAAACGATGTAATGGAGCCTATCTCCAAAACTACTTCTGATAGAAGGACAGAAACATTCATACAATGTACATGAAAATCAACTTAGATTTACCTGATGTAACCTGAAAAGCACATAAAAATCATCGTTGCCGAAGAAAATCCGCAAATCTCTCCTTTCTTCGGTAGTTGGGACATGCTTTGCAAGGGGCTTTAGGGACAAAGAAACATATTCCAAACAGGTTGGAGCAGGACTTGTACTGGTCAACCTGTCTGCTTTTTCGTCAGTCTCTGCATTGTCATCCAAGTTGCTTTGTTCTCCTTCCCCTGCTCCACATTCATCTCTCAAGCAGTCGCCATGGAGAGAGCTACTTACATGCCCGACTTTGCAAGCATCTTCGCTGCCTTCATTATGAGCATCCTTATCTCCTTGAACTTCGTGAGATTTCTGCTCTTCACAACTGCTAGATTGATGTTGCGATGGCACGGGAATGACAAAGTTATCCTCTTCCATATCCACGTCAGGAGATAATTCACCCTCTTCCTTCTCAATTTCTGGAAGTTTACTAGATTTACCATGATGTGTATCACAAGAATCACTCAGTACCACTCCACCCGGTAATACTGCTGGAGTTTTAGCCTCTCCATCCTGAAATAAATCCACTAAGGATTAATAATAATGATAAGAACAATTCTTGATCAGTAGAAACCTGCTTGGACAATATAAACCAGTGAAATAAGAAGAGAGATGACTTGACACCTGGAATGAAGGTATAGCATTGTGTTCAGGTAGATGATCCTCAGCTGAAGCTTCTTTATTCCGGGGGTCATTTCCCTCAGAACCTTGACAAAGAAAAAGAAAGAATAGGTCCAAAAACCATGATAAATACAAATCAAACAACGATAAAACTATATGGATCAGTATACGCAGAAAAACTAATGATTTATCACTTGATTCATCTACACTACATTCCATTACCTTTTCCTGCTTGATCACCAAGTGACTGAACTGAAATGGCTACTATTTCACCACCTTCCACTTGTTCACTTCCATCATGCCGCTTCTCAGTTTCCTCTACGCCAGCCACTTCCTTATCTACGTTGTCAGAAGAACCAGTAGGATCATCTTTACCGGTGTGATCAGCTTTCCCATGACTTTCCTCGGCCCCACAAACCTCATTTATCAAACTGCTTCCACCAAGACCCGGGACCAGTGGCAAAACATTCTCATCTCTAGTCTCAGCTACTTTTAATTGCCTAGATGTTAGTTCAGACATGACAGTGACAGGCTTTCCAATTGAATACGCTGGTACTGGTTCATTATTTACCGTCTCAGCTTGTTTTCTTTCTCCAACATCTTCAACAGCTTCTGCACCAATAGAGCGAGGAGAGACACCAAGGAAAGTCTCCAAGAATTTATTCCACAATCCCATAATTTTACTAATCTGTTCTTTGGAACAGATCTCTTCGCATGAAAATTGTAGAAGCTTGTGCAAGTCTTCATGTATACTAGCATCACCAAATTCATATTTGAGATGTGGAACCATGGGGTGCCTATGACTGGCATCAATAACCAGGGGAAAACTACTTTCCTTCCGCATCTTCTTTTTCAATTCCTCGATTTCAGCAACCAAAGCTGCATATGAGTTAAAAAAGTGCCCATAAGAAGAGGAAGAGAGATGAAAAGCATTAGAGAACCAGAAACACGAAATTCGAAGTCACTCCAAAAAACAGAACAAAAAAGTTGTATAAGCCCTCTATTTACAAGCCTCGCAAAACTCCCGAATCCAACTGGTGAACTCTCAAACAATGTGCAAACCCTTTCTATCTTCTGGAAGTTGCAAAATAAATTAGCAGAAATCTCAACTTACCTTTCATGCTCAAGTTCTTCGGGTCTTGCTGCTTGAAGTAGAAGCTGCGATGATCAAGTGATTTATAATGGTTTTTAGCATATACTTCAGCCCAAACCTTGTTAAATTCTTCACGGCATTTTGACCACTCTTCCTGTTTCTGCTTCAGGCGAGTAAGGATAACAGGCAGTACAAGAGCAGGATTTCTGTACAATACTTCAAGTACATCAAGACCGTGGTCTCCGTACAGCCGTTCAATACACCTTAAATTTATAGCTGAATAACAATCAATCAGTTAGAAGAGCACAAATATATAAGCCAAAAATTCTGGAGGGGGAAACAAAGACAAGCTCACAGACCAGTGAAGTAGTCTTCAATTCGAATTGGCCTATCCATATTGTTTTCGATAATGCACTTCAATAGAGCCTCTCCACGTTTAGCAGTATAGTTCACATTTTCCAACAATATATCCAGCTCAAATCTATAATCATCAGAGAAAATAGAATGACAATGTATAAACTAAAGATATGGTCCCAGTTATCGTAAAACTGTTAAATCAGGTACGTATAAATACCAATGGGAAATTGCATGTATAATTAATATCTTGAGCTTGTAAAATCTTATAGCAATACCTATCATCTTCACATCTAAATAAACTTTCTTCAAACTGATTTCTGCGCATGTGCTTAAAGGAGTAGTCTTCACTTCCTGAAGTGACTGATACCCAGTGATCATTCAAGACCTCAATTCCAAGCTCTGATCTATGGCTTGCTGCAGGGATCGGATACTGCCAAAAAATAATCATCAAAGAATGAATTTTATAAAAATCCAAACGGAAACATGGTGAGGAACAAGGTCAAAAGCCTCCATACATCCTGTGGAAGGAGCCTATAGCTGGGAGTACAACGTTCACAATCAGCCAGATCTAGCTCTTGAATTGATTTTGCCCAGTACTTCTCCTTGCATCTTTCCTTTTCTTTAGCAACCTCAATATCATGGTCGTCCTCTCTCTCCCCACCTCCCATTTTTGTTACCCGATTTATATGTCCACCAACACACAGTGATTCTACATGAAAGAGCAAATGATATAAGTAATTATCACTGAAACACCATTAAGCACCATGTAAGTACAGGAGATGTGGTATAATGCATACTTCCACTAATAACACTGGAGAGAAATCCATCTGCAAGAAGGATACTAACGATTAAATCCAAGAAACCAGTAACATAGACAAACAGACACACAAAAAGAGCCAAGAGACTTAGGTTTACCGATATTTTCACATTGCTTCAAGAACTGATTAAACTCATCCATGAGATCAGGATATTCTCCAAGGAGATCAGTCACCTGCAATAGATTAAAATTAGGTGACACATCGTTAAGAACATCACATATCACTGATCTTACAATGGTAAATAGAAACGGCGAGAAAAGGACCAGAAACCAAGCAGAAAAAGAGAATTAAATATTCTTTTTCTTAAAAAATAATGAAAAAGTTAAATGTCCCAATGAAGCATAGCAAAGTCCTGGAACTATATGCTCTACGGAAACCTGATTTACGGGGACAAATTTTTAAGCCAAAAAGTACGCAAGATATGTCAATGGCCGAAATGGAAGAAGAGCAAAAATGGTCCAATATTAATTAAAATCATTTAGATTTGTTCAAATCAAGATATGAGGACTATAACGGATGCTATGCTTTAACGGATAAACAATCATGCTAGAAAACTTTGTAAAACCATAAAGAATCTTCGGCCTACCAAATTCTGCAAGTCATTTCGTTTAATTATTCCAGTACTAAATATATCAAGGCACTTCAAGAATGCCTGGTAATCTTCTTGGCTGCATAACCTCTCCTTGACTTTCTCGCAGAAACTACATGCCTGGTCATAGATGCCTGGTTAACAATGGCAAACAGGAAAAAAAGGTATGAGAGTTTATCATCTCTAGAAAGATAATGATACTTAAAATAAAAGGCCCATAACAATGAGCAAAACGTTCACACCATCTACTCTGGTGTCTCCATGATTCACCGTGGGAAAGTTGTCAAACACTAGAATTAGCGTTCTCTTGGTCAAACACAACTAACATAATGGAATTGACGGAATAAAACCTTAAGTAGTAAAGAGAGTGATAAAGACATACAGATCACCATGAAATGAACCTCAAAACCCAATCAAGTAAGTTCGTTTAAACCACTGAAGACAATATAGCGTTTTAGGAACTAGAATTCAAATTATGATATAATAAATTATCCTCAGTTGGAATGGCATTTAAAGGCGACACAAACAAGAGTGACCTTGGGAAAATACTGTCTATTGATGTGGTCAATTAATCACTTAGCCTACCTTTTTCGTCAAATGGGATGTGACCAGAATAGGTCCCGAAACCTTCCATCTTCTTTTCTAGTTTCCTTTTTTCAGGAAAATGCAGCAGACTGGAGTCCCTATCATTGTCTTGCTCGATTTCCATATCATCTTGGCCATGGTTTCTCCCATTTCTATTCTGATTTTCCACACGCCTTCTATATTCTTTATCCATCTTCATTACTCCCTTATTATCATCATAATCAGGGAAATCACTGCCAGTAGCATCACGATCTCCAACAACAGTCTGATCATACCGATGTTGCTGTAACTAGAAAGAGATTAACCTGTCATTAAGAGTTTAAGAAGACAAAGCACCTGCAAAGAGAGAAAACAAACTTTGTGTTACCTTTTCAGCTCGCACTTGCCGCTGCACAGATGCACCACAGCTCTGCTCATAGTATCTCTGAAGTCGTTTACAACCAAACGGGGCCTGCTGGGATGTTGCTGAAACATCTGGTAGAAACCTCATGAATTCCTCAAGCAAATCAGGGTGGCCCAAGAAAAGAGTGGAAACCTAAAAAAGCATAAGGGACATACATGAGAAAATATAACCACAAAAAAAGAGAGGCAAAACAAATCTTCAGACAGAATCCAAAGGTTCCCAAAAAAAAAAACTGAACGAAACAAGGTACCTCTCTGTGAACCTCATGTATGTCCTTGTGCTGTCTTCGGTACATATTCAAGATATCCAAAAAAGATTTGTAAACGTGCTCTTCAGTTTGGAAACGTTTCTGCAGACAGGAATGCTATTTCTTAGAAAACAGAAAGGTCTATGGTGAAAAACATCTCCATAAAAAAGCACTGCTACCTTTATTTTGTTCACCAAGCTTATCGCTTCTTCAAACTCAACTGATTTTTTTGGTGGAGCATCATCCTCTTCGATGGTTATTTCATATCCCTTCGGCAAAAAGGTATTAAAACCATATATCAAGTTCTTATGCTCTTTGAATAATTCTTTAACCCTCCCTATTACACCAGCTGTGTCGGTCCTGCGAGGAATAAAAGTTCAACAGAAGTTGGCAATCAATACTAGCAGTCTAGCACAACTATTTTCCACAATCTAAAATTCATTATATCCAAAGATCCAACCTTTGAGCCTTGAAGTCCTTCATCACCTCAAGAAAAGTCTCGTACTTTTCCCTTTGATCTTGAAATATTTCTTTGACTTCTTTCAGATAGCCCAAGGCATCATTTGTTGTCAATTTCTGAGAAGCAAATGCAACAGCTTCACCTCCCACTCCTCCATCTCCAGCCACTCTTGGCCCAACAACTCCGTGTGCCCCTCCTGAAGCTGGGGTTTGCTCGTACCTGAATAGCCAAGAAAACAAAAAATAAGGAAAAAAAAAACTTTGTGTAGAATTAAAGCGCGAAAACGAGTACTGCAAGATAAAAAAGCCGGCACATTCTCTGGATCTTTTTACTTCTTCATAATAAACTCTAGCCTAATGCGCTCTACTCTATATTTGATCACAAAAACATTTTTTCGTAACAGCAAAATTCTAGAAAGGAAGAATACAAATTTACTGGTTTTGATTTACCCATTGTTTATTTCACGGACTAAAATCTTCAAAGACTCATTTCCATGATAGATCACAAGCTATAAACTTTCGATTCGCTTCAAGAAATGGAATGGAGCATTTAACGCTACCTAGCGTCAAATGACCAAATTTTTTTTGCCCAGATATGCTAAATTATAAGGCTGATCTCATGAACATGCGGCTTACAAAATTTGCCAGATGATAAATGATGATCTCTCCCTCACCAAATTCAGTAATCACACTCAGAATATTTAATATATCAATGGAAAAATCAAGGATCAGTCCAACGCGATAGACTTTATACAGATGCGATTTCACATGTTTATGATCGTAATCGCCAAACAGAACAACTATCCAACAGAGCAAAAACCCGTACGCACACATATATATAAACACATGAATTAATGAATGAAAAAAAAAGGAGCGAGAACATGAACTCACGCTTCTCCGCGAGAGGAGCCAAATGGGCGTTTGAATTGAGAAACAGGAAACACATCATCTCCTGTTCTCTTCATCTGCGAAAACCCAGTAAACAGAAAAGGCTTCGTTTCCAGAAATTCAACAAAAAAAAAATAACAAAACCAGAATCAAAGGAGGAAGACACTCACTTTCCCCGGCTACAGAGATTTTCCCGACGCAAACACGCCGGAATAAGGACACCACCGACAGATCTCGGTTGATTCGAACGGACTGAACAAAATTGGATTAGGAGGAGAACCAGCGACTGCCTTAGTCTGTGATCGGCATGTAAAACGAGACCAACCTCGACCTGCTCTTGCGTTCGGCTATGGCGACCAGGTTTACACGTTGGCAGAGGGAAGGGAATGGGTGCGAGAAGGTGGCCGAGAAAACTGAAAATTTTCCCGAGAATCAAATCAGAGCATGAGTCAAAAACCAAAAAATTTATGGAGGCCGAAGGAAATTCAAAAACCGGTGTTATGGATTTTCTAAGTTTCTACGAGTTTTTTTCTCTTCCTTTTTTTCAATGTGCCAATACTGGGAAAATAACGAATCAGTTGTGCTTTACTTGTTATTGGGCCTTTCAAGTGAATGGGCCTTATAATTCTAGGCCCATTTAGGCTTGTACAGGTGTGACGGACTATATATTTAATTTAATGTTGGATATAATTGGAAATTCAGTTGGATTGAGTCATAAATAAAAAGTATCATTTTGGACACGCAAGGGTGTGATCGAATTTTGTTTATTACTTTAATGGAAATACAACATTATGCGTGGAGAGATATTTATATAAGAATTAAATGCATATATACGATTTTTATCTTTATTAATCAACAGTTAAGTTTACATAAATACCATTTACTGCAAAATTTAGATATTTTTTATTTAATGTTATATTGACGGATTTCTAGTTCCGAGAATAAAGTGAAACGAACTTTGAAGGATTGATCACGTATAGATATTTATATATTCGGGGTTTCTTTTACGTTATTTTTAGGTTTATTTTTTTATATTTATATGTGATTTTTTTTATCGTTTTATATTCCATCAAATTTGATTTATATTTAATTTCTAGATTTTTTAAAATTTTACTTTACAATAATATTTTCTTTCACATTTTTCGGATATTTTAATGTTCCTCCGAATATGGTATGAATTTCTAATCACTTTTTATAAATTGAACTTGATTTTGATATAATTATATATTATTCAATTTGATTCATTCCGATTTTATACCTTTTAAATATTATTTAAAAAGGATTATTTATTGAACACAAATATATTTCAATCCTTATATCGTGGAAGGTAAATATTTTTTTAATGTAAATATTGATGTAAAAAACTACAGAAAATTATATAGAACTACAGAAACAGATGAACCTAGGTATTTTACGATTCTATGATTACTCCTTGTACGTTAATCCATATTCGTAAGTGAACTCGGATTAAATAGTTGGACGATAATACATAAACATAAAACTACATGTTGGTTTTCTTTATTGTTGCGTATGCAATTAATAATTTCCTCAACAATTGTATGAACTCTGTTTCATGTGCATGCATGTGTGCGCATATATGCGTTTAATTATATATACATACACATATATATAAATATTACGTATAATGAAACAAGGAAATAATATTTTTGTGGGATCAACTTGCTTAAACGGGGTGCAAATACAAACGGAAGCTCTACAACCAAACTAATTCCATCTTTCCATAATCAACAAAAGTTTGATTTAAATTGAACCGAGAATCGGAGAAATTTTTTATACTTATTTATGAGTTTCGGATCGATCCAACTCATAAATATAGTAAGAATAAATTTAGAAATAAACAAGAATGACATATCTTATTACCTATTTCGGGATTTTTGAAGTTTTTATAGAGAAATTTATAGAAATATCAAATTAGAATCGAACAATAATGGTAACCCATTTTTTATAACGAGAATAATATAATGTATGAAATCTTGAACTTCATTTTGTGCCTTTGCAATCCGAGATTTCTCATATTTTTTTTTTTTTTTTGTGTTTCTGGAAAATTTAGTTTTTGGGTTTCGTAAAATAATGATGTTTGTTGATAATTAAATATATGAATTAAATGGCCTTATATAAGATGCAATAAAACCCTAAACTTAAATAAACGAGACATTTAGTACTTTATCGATGGTCCAAATAGAATTTTTAACCTCTCTCTATCTCTCTCAAGAGATCAGGTCTATGGATTTATCATTAATTGATTGCTAATATAAGCCAGATATTTTGGGCCGAACGTTTCGAGTATCGTTGGGCTTAATATATGGGCCTTCTTAAGTCGGCCATTAATATACGAATCCGACGCTATTTCTGAAATCAAAATTCAAAACCCAGATCGATCGTTTTTTCGAAAACACGGCTAAACGACGGAGGAATTATGGCGGGAATGGATACGCAGAAGCAGCTCCTCTCTCTGATCCGTGACTTCACCTCCGAAAAATCTCGAGGAGGTAAGATCTTTCACCTGTTACTCTCTGTTTGATTCCCCAGAAAAAAGAATTTCTCGATGTGTCGGATCAAAAAACGGTGAGGAATCGGAAGCGCAGAAGCCGAAAATTGTAAATTCGGACAAATTCTAGAGCAGATGCATCGGTATTTTTGCCTTGGCGCTCCAGCGATGTAGGGTTCAGGCGTTGATTTCATGTTCTACTATCGGTTCTTAATTAACTCGGTAGAAAGAGGAAGATTCTGTTGATTATTAGTGCTATTTTGTATAGAGCAACGAGTGGTTGGATTGAAGAAGCGGATCGAGAATCTTCGATCAGATCTTGAAGCAGCGAACACAAGACTTGAAGATGCAAAGCGGAATAAAGAAACGAGTGAGCAGGAACTCAACGGCTATGAAGTTGAATTGGCTTTGAACGAATCTACGATTCAATCGCTAGAGGTTTCCATTTTTCTGAACTCATGTAGTTTCTTTGATTGCTTTGCATATCTGTAGTGCTTTTCTAAAGTTTTGCTTGAAACCGAACTGCTTTTAGGCCAGGATTGCTCTTGTTCAGGAAGAAATTTCTGCCGTTAGTAAAGAAGTTGATGCTCTTAAGGTACGTGCAAAGCTTTGACGTGTTTTTATATGGAAGCCTCTCATTTTGGGTTCAAAACTGCTCATATTAGTGTCAGGTTATTGTTGTTGATTATTTTCTCTATGAAATTCTTGATTTTCATGGATAACGTGATGCTTGCGGAAACAAAGAATGAAGAAAGCTTACTCAGGTAATTTCTTGATTTTTGCTTATCTAGCTTTTAATTCTTAGCATAAGACTGAGGTCTGCGTTAGATAATTGCGTCTGAACTTTTCTGATGCAGAGATCAGTTTATAAGCCAAATGTTTGGACTGAACAACGAAATAAGGTTCCTCTCCTTTACCTGTGATTACCATAAATCCAAGTTATATGTCCTTGGGTTTTCATGAAGTCAACCTGGTTATATGGTAACAGGAAATTTCAGAAAGCAGTAACTTCCATTTTTGAGAGAGATGATGGTACTGACCTTACAACAGGTGAGTAGCTGGAGATGTTTGCATCATGTCTTTTTCATCGGATCCAAGATAGCTTGTTGTTATGTAGTTGCTTGCTAATGCTTTTGTACCAGAAGGCATCAAAGTTTTTCAGGATGGCTGTAGAACCGCTTCAAGAACTGTTGAGGATATGCTAGCTGATATAAATTCTCAACTAGAAAAGGAGGAAGAAGAATACCTGGCAGAACAACATATACAGAAAGAGGTAATGGTTTTTCTCATGAGCTAAAGTATTTTTGAAAGTTCATTGTCATAGGAAGTGTTGTTTGCTTGGTTATCCAATTTCTGTTGCAGGAAGTTTACTAATCATCTTCTGGGCAGAAAATATTCCGACAGGATATCTTATTGTCTCTCTCTGCAGCTGCAGATGGTGCTTGATGATTATGAGAAGAAATTCTCTCTCATGGAGGCAATAACAGAAAAAACAAAATCATTGCAGGATCTCACAAGATATCCTGAGTTGCATTAGTTACAAAACCACAGATGAATCACAGATCTTACAAGATGTCATTGTGAACATTTCATTGATATACTACACTGAACATGAATGATCACACGTAATTCCCAACTGGAGTTTGTTAAAAAGTGTTAATTAGGTCAAAACAGGACATGTAGCTTTGACTTGTTAGAAAAAAACTATTAAGACTTGATGTTTCCTTGACCTTTAACAAGCAGACTTCCGACTTGGAACAGAGGCTCGCTTCACTCAGTGAGGAGCTGCAAAAGAAATGCAGATGCCCACGTTGCCAAACTGAAAACTTAGAAGCTTTGAGCAAACTTCTTCAGGAAGATCAAGTAAGTTAACTTTTTCCAAGCTATTTTGCTTTCGATGTTTCTAGCAATCTATGTTTCTCAAATGTCATCAAGATATTAGAACCAAAAGGGCTTGGAACTTCATACCCTTGTTTCTATGGGCATATCTGGTGGTGAAAAAGTGGATGTACAGCGTAATGTCAACTTTATAGTCCTCTTCACTAGTGTCCATGTACAGGAAATAGTTGGCACTTGTACATATGTGCTCCCCTTTCCTGGTTGTCCTGAAGTCATTTGCCAAATCTTTAAGTTTATTCATCTTAAAGAAACAAATTCATTTCCACTAAATCTCAAAAGAAAGAAAGAGTAAAGGTGATAAGTATCATGTAGACATACCGGCTTTCAGTTGGGTCAGCCTGTAGCAGCCATTCTTTACCATCCTGAAACAATGTCCGGGTTGTTTGGAGAGCTACAGTGCGATATGATCTAAAATCTCGAGGAATACCAAAAACGTATGTGTGCCAAGAACTAGTACTTACTGTTTCTCTAAGAGCTGCAATGTCAGGAAGCATATTCTGCGAAGGGGGTAACACTTGGTTTCTTGTGATCTAGGACTTCTATATGTGTAGAGAATAGTGCATACACGGGTCGATGATCAGAAAACCGACTTTCACTTCGAGAATAGGAGAGCTGTTTCAGACCTTTCCCATAACATAGGATTCTGTCGCACCTAAACACATAGACGAGTTTTATAGAGAGTATGATTGAGTAATCTAGTTGGAAACCAATATAGAGATAGTTAAGAGCTTTACCATGCCGGGGTTCTTTGTTTCTCTCCTACTCGGCTTGCAACTCCACCTGAGTATCTGTCGAAATTTGAGGAACAATACTTGTAGGTCGGAGGAAACTCTATGCCCCCTTCCTTCCATCCTTGGAAAACTCCACCTTCTCCTTGTTCTTCTCGTAGCTGATCAAACCGTTGCAATGCTTTCCAATCTTGCTTCTGTACTAGGCGTCTTGCTAAATCGTCGTCCAAGCATAACCTGTAGTTTAGGTCCCCGAACCAAAATATTCGGCTACTCCACATGATGAAATTATGAGATTAGATTTCATACCACTAGCTGACTAGCTCGAATCTATCGGCTTCATGATACTAATAGAAGTTTGTGCCAAAGTCTATTGTACCAAGGTTGAACTTGTAGATTTCCATTAGCATATCTCTTTTCTGCTTGCTTTTTTTATTTACAATTCATCTTTATTGTTTTGCAGAGCGTGCTAGCATATTAGTTAGCCGACCATATTTGTGGTTCCTCGAAGATGGAGGACTTACTCGTGTCCCAAGATGGTGAGAGATCCCCTGTCACCTTTTGAGGATTTGGGAAAACGAGTTCTCCGGAAAATCTCCAAAACCTGGTTGTTCCTTCTTCCTTCATCACCCTTCTTCTCCCCCGAAGCCAAATGTGCAGCGATGAAGCAAAAACGTGTCCCTTCTATCGACATGCTGATGGAGACAGAGCCTTTGTTTCCAAGACAGCCCATGAGACCACAAGCCACTGAACAGAACCTCAAATCCGACACCTGAAACCTTCTTAACACTTCATTCCTTATCCACACGCTTAAAAATACGCCTACCATCTTCTTGCTTGCCAGTAGTTTGTATTTGCTCTCTACCAAAAGATTCTCATCCCGTGTTCTTGATCTCTCTCGTTTCAGGTTTCCTGCTCTCGGACTACTTGAGATGTTGTGAGTCAGCCTCGGAGTCAGCCATGGACAACCGTATCTGTAGTTGAGAGCCTTTCCTATCAGCAGATTCCAGTTACGCTCTTCCTTCTTGTTTT